TGTCAGAAATTCAAAAAATACTGGGGGCACCCAGCTGGCTCAGTGGGGAGAGCATGCAATTCTTGATCTTGGGGTTGTAAGTTCGAGCCCCACGTTGGGTATAGAGATTACTTAAAAATAAAATCTTTTAGCGACATCTGGGTGGATCAGTGGGTTAAGCATATGACTTTTTTTTTTTTAAAGATTTTATTTATTTATTTTTAGAGAGAGAGAGAGAGAACACATGAGAGGGGGGAGGGTCAGAGGGAGAAGCAGACTCCCTGCCGAGCAGGGAGCCCGACGCGGGACTCAATCCCGGGACTCCAGGATCACGACCTGAGCCGAAGGCAGTCGCTTAACCAACTGAGCCACCCAGGCGCCCCAGCATATGACTCTTGATTTTGGCTCAAGTCAGGATCTCAGGGTCCTCGGATAGAGCCCCCTCGGGCTCTGCACTCTAAGCTCTGCTTGTCTTTCTCCCTCCTTTCTGCACCTCCCCCAATCTCTCTCATGTGCACTCTCTCTAATAAATAAAATCTTTTAAAAATAAAATCTTAAAAAAATAAATGCAGAAAATATGCGTATTCTAGCATTAAACAGGTAAATAAATACACTGTGATGAAAGCCAGATTTCTCACTATCAGAAAAATCAGTTATAAATACAGAAAGGGGTCAGCTAGAATAAACAGTGTGGTCTTGGACCGGAAGTAGAGGCATCGTTGTGAACTCATGGTTTTCGAAATACAAATATGTCTGAACAGCTTGTGGTAGGTATCCATGCGTATGTACGTACATTTCCTGACTGTCCACTGAGAGGGTCTGAAAGTCCTAACGCCCAACACCAACGATGTCACCCAGCACCCAGGTCTTGGTGTCTCATGCCATTCTGCAATGAAAAGCACCATGGCTTCTTGGAGAATAGCCATATCTTCAGGGCTGTGGCAAGGAAGTTACAAGATGAGCCTCCCACATCTTGTGGTGCTAGAAGGTAAGGAAGGGTTCAAATCCTAACGGGGACATGTGGACCCATATCAGTGGACACAGGAGGCAAACTTGAATGGGCTCCCATGCCAAATCTGGGACAACCTGACAGACAAAATAAATAATGATCATAATGGATTATAATCCATAGAAGAAGCTATAGAATAAAACAAGAATCTGTGAGTCCACACGGATATAAATACTTGAATGAATGAAGAAAAAAAAAAGGTGAAGGGAAAAGTCTTCCCCACAGAATTCCAACCAATCGGGGTGCCTGGGTGGCTCAGTCGTTAAGCGTCTGCCTTCGGCTCAGGTCATGATCCCAGGGTCCTGGGATCTAGTCCCGTGTCGGGCTCCCTGCTCGGCGGGGAGCCTGCTTCTCCCTCTCCCACTCTCCCTGCTTGTGTTCCTCCTCTCGCTATCTCTCTGTCAAATAAATAAATAAAATAAAAAAAAAAAAAAAAAAGAATTCCAACCAATCAACGTAGAATGAGGAAAACTGAAAACTGCCATTTGGCAGATACCCAGTAATAACTGTTTCAGGAAAAAATCAGCAATAGATGCTAAAATTACTAGGGAAAAGTAGGATGAGGAACAGGATATTTAGAGAGTCTCTTAGGATCTCTCCTTGAGAGAACTTACAAACAAGTAATATTACAGTGAAGGAATCTGACAGAAACCACCTTAAGCATAAATGACTGGGGAGGTGGTCACTCCAAGGTGGGCCAGGAGAGGCTTCTCTGAGGAGGCAACATTGAAGCTCTGACCTGGGTGGTCAGAAGACTTGGAGAGGAATATTCCAGAAACAGCTCTGTCCAAGGACTCAAGGCACAGAAAGAAGGCAAGTGGCAGGTATACAGTGAAGAGTAAAGTAGATAAGAGATCAGGGAGACAGGAGACCTCCTATTACACATGGCTTTGTAGTCCCATGGTAGGTAAGGAGTTCAGGCTTTGTTTTTTTTTCTGTTTCTTTTTTTTTTTAATAACTGTGTAAACTACACATAACCTTGACCATCTTGATTATTTTTAAGTGTATAGTTCAATGGTATGAAATATATTCATAACGGTGTGCAACTACCACCACCATCCATCTCCAGAACTCTTTTCATCTTGTAAAGCTAAAACTCCATACCCATTACACATGAAGTTCCCATTTCCCCTCCCATACACCTGGCAACCACCATTCTACTTTCTGTTTCTACGATTCGGACTATGCTAAGTATCTCATATAAATGGAATCATCCTGTATTTGTTTGTTTGTTTTGTGACTGGCTTATTTCACTTAGCATGATGTTCTCAAGGTTCATCCATTTTGTAGCATGTGTCAGAATTTCCTCCTTTTTAAAGGCTGAATAATATTCCACTATATGTATATGCCACATGTTGCTTATCCATTCATCCACTGAGAGACCCTTGGGTTGTGTCCATGTTTTAGCTCTTGTGAACAAGAGTATACAAATATCTCTTCAAGATCCTGATTTCAATTCTTCTGGGTATACACCCAGAAGTGGAATTGCTGGATCATATGGTAATTCTACTTTTAGGTTTTGAGGAATCACCATACTGTTCTCCACTGTGGCTGCACTATTTTATAGTCCCACAGCCTGTCCAACACTTGTCTTCTGTTTGTTGTGTGATAGCAGCCACCTAATGAGTCTGAGGAGGTATCTCATTTGCATATCCCTACTGATCAGTGATGCTGAGCATCTTTTCATGTGCTTATTTTGTATTTGTTCATCTTTGGAGAAATGTCTATTCAAGTCCTTTGCCCATTTTTAAATTGGGTTGTTTGGTTTTTTGTTGCTGAGTTAGAGGAGTTGGGGTTTTATTATAAATGATAAAGTAGCCAAGAATGTTAAGCAGGGGAGTAATGTGTCCTAATTTGAGTTTTTTGTTTTGCCCTATTTTTTGGTCACTCTGTTGGGTGGAGAATGCTTTGAAGGCAAGGAGTTGTAGACGGAGACACTAGAAACAGGGAGACCATTTTGGGGTTTTTGTAGAAGTTCAAGCAAGAGATGATGGTGGTCCCAGCTAGCGGAGTGTTCACTACAAATGGGATTGTAGAGAAGTGGGAAGATTTGAAACCTTAGTTAAGTAGTATAATCAACAAGATTTTGCAATTAAATAGAAATGGGAAATGAGTAAGAAGGAGTCCAAGATGACTGCCAGGGTTCTGGCTTGAGACAGAACTGGGTACATGATGGTACCATTCACTAAAATAAGAAAACCAGGGGAGAATTGGTTTAGGAGCTGGGGAGAGAAATGATGAATTCAATCGTCAACACCACACATTGAAATGGCCTGTGGGACATCCCAATGGAGAGGTCCAGCAGCTTCCAGGCTGGCATTTAGAAGGAAGAGCTGAGGCACCTGGGTGGTTCAGTCAGTTGAGCAGCTGACTCTTGGTTTCAGCTCAGGTCACAATCTTGGGGTTGTGAGATCAAGCCCTGCATCGGGTTCTGCACTCAGCATGGGGTCTGCTTGAGATTCTCTCCTCCCTCTGCCCCCCCGCCTGCTCACTCTCTCTTCTCTCAAATAAATAAACCTAAAAAAAAAAAAAAAAAGAAGAAGAAGGAAGAGTGGGGCTCGAGATTCCACAACGGAAGCCTTGCACATAATAATTAAGTCATGGGACTAGATGGTTCCAAGGGGACTTCCTGAAAGTGTAATAAAAACACAGGTGTAGGGGCGCCTGGGTGGCTCAGTCGTTAAGCGTCTGCCTTCGGCTCAGGTCATGATCCCAGGGTCCTGGGATCGAGCCCCGCATCGGGCTCCCTGCTCTG